CATACCAGGGACACAGGGATGGTTCAACATCTGCAAATCAATCGATGTGATACACAACATCAACAAATTGAGGAATAAAAACCATATGATCATCTCAATAGACACAAAGAAAGCATTTGACAGGATCCAAAAGCCATTTATAATAAAAACTCTTAACAAAATGGGGATAGAAGGAAATTACTTCAACTTAATAAAGGCCATATATGACAAACCCACAGCCAACATCATACTCAATTGGCAAAAACTGAACGCCATCCCCCTGAGAACAGGAACAAGACAAGGATGCCCACTATCACCACTCTCATTCAACATAGTACTGGATGTTTTGGCAAGAGCAATTAGGCAAGAGAAAGGAATAAAAGGAATCCAAATAGGGAGTGAAGAAGTGAAACTCTCGCTGTTTGCAGACGACATGATTCTATATATAGAAAACCCCCAAAAATCTATCAGAAAACTAACAGAAATAATTAAAAACTACAGTAAAGTTGCAGGGTACAGAATCAACTTACAAAAATAAGTTGCTTTTCTATACTCCAATAATGAACTTACAGTAAGAGAACTCAAGAATACAATTCCATTAGCAATCACAACTAAAAGAATAAAGTTCCTAGGAATAAATTTAACCAAGGAGGTGAAGGACTTATACAATGAAAACTATAAGACATTTCTGAAAGAAATTGATAATGACATAGAGAGATGGAAGAAGATTCCTTGCTCATGGATTGGAAGAATAAACATAGTTAAGACATCCACACTACCCAAAGCAATCTACAGATTCAATGCAATCCTTATCAGAATCCCAGTGACATTCTTCACAGAAACAGAGCAAAGAATCCTGAAATTCATATGGGGCAACCAAAGACCCTGAATTGCTAAGGCAATCCTGAGAAAAAAGAACAAAGCTGGAGGTATCACAACCTTGACTTCAAAACGTACTACAAAGCCATAGTGATCAAAACGGCATGTACTGGTACAAAAACAGACACACAGATCAATGGAACAGAACTGAAAGCCCAGAAATAAAACCACACATCTATGGACAGCTAATCTTTGACAAAGGTGCCAAGAACACACAATGGAGAAAAAGATAGTCTCTTTAATAAATGGTGGTGGGAAAACGACAGCCACATGCAAAAGAATGAAGGTAGACCACTATCTCATGCCATGCACAAAAATAAACTCAAAATGGACCAAAGACTTGAGGATACATCCTGAAATTATAAAACTCCTGGAAGATAATATTGGTAGTACACTCTTTGACATAGAACTAAAAATGATCTTTTCAAATACCATGTCCTCTCAAACAAGGGAAACAAAAGAAAAAATAAACAAGAGGGAATTCATCAGACTACAGAGCTTCTGCAAGGCAAAAGAAACCAGGATCCAAACAAAGAGACAACCCACCAATTGGGAGAAAATATTTGCAAATCATATATTTGATAAGGCGTTAATGTCCATAATATATAAGGAACTCACACAACTGAACAATAGGAAAACAAACAAGCTGATCAAAAAATGGGCAGAGGAGATGAACAGACATTTTTCCAAAGAAGATATACCAATGTCCAATAAACACATGAAAAGATGTTCAAAATCACTAATCATCAGGGGAATACAAATTCAAACTACACTAAGATATGACTTTACGCCTGTTAAAATGGCTATAATCACTAAGACTAAAAATAACAAATGTTGGAGATGGTGTGGAGAGAAGGGAACTTTCATACCCTGCTGGTGGGAATGCGAAGTGGTGCAGCCACCATGGAAAACAGTATGGAGATTCCTCAAAAAACTGAAAATAGAACTACCATACAACCCAGCTATCCGACTACTGGGTATCTACCCAAGCAATCTGAAATCAACAACCCAAAGTAACATATGCACCCCTATGTTCATTGCAGCACTATTCACAATAGCCAAGACATGGAAGCAACCCAAGCACCCATCCACTGATGATTGGATAAAGAAGATGTGGTATATATATACAATGGAACTCAGCCAGAAAAAAAAGACAAATTCATCCCATTTGCAATAACATGGAAGGACCTAGAGAGAATTATGCTAAGCAAAATAAGCCAGACTGAGAAAGACAAACACCAGATGATTTCACTCATATGTGGAATATAAACAAACACATGGACACAGAAAACAGTTCTGTGGTTACCAGGGGAAGGGGATGGGGGGGTGGGCACAGGGAGTGAAGGGGAGCACTTACGTGGTGACAGACAAGAAATAATGTACAACTGAAATCTCTCATTGATGTGAACTATTATGAACTCAATAAAAAAAAATTTTAAAGAAAAGAAATCAAAATTTCCAAAATCCTAAATTGGTTTTAAAATACTCCAAACATTCTTTATACCCTTTACTACTTATCATGGCTATCCAAAAAATTGTATTCAATCAATAAGAAATATCAAGTTTACAAAGCATTGTACCCTATAGAGAATATTAAAACACTGGGAAACACCAGCAGATATTATGGGTAACATTGAAGTAACTTCACATTCAGACCTTCCAGCAAAGTGACAGGATAGCACTACACAGAATCATGTGTTGACAATTCTTATTTTGCTTCCAAAACTTATTATTTCTTGGAACACCATTCACAGAATTTATATAAAGCATACAATACATATAAACACATTAATATTTTATTTGTAAGAATGTCTCATCGTTAGCAACAGACAGGACCACAAATACATACATATAACCTGACAACAGCTGCAAGTGACACTAACTGATTAGATCCTCCTTTGTTCCCCTAGCCTAGAAATGTTGACCTTAACCTTCAACTGCAAGTCAATGCTTCCTTCTCTTACTTTCGACTTGACATCAGGGGACTCCTTTCAACCAATAACATCTTTGTGTCGATTGTTAGGCTTTAATTCTTACAGAAGAATTATAGTACATATTACCATTTTCTCTGAAAATGAGTACATATTATAGTACATATTACCATTTTCACTTCTGAAGGTTTGAAAAAACAAATAAGATAGACGAGAAAACCAAGAAATGCCAGGCACAGGTGATCCGCACATGGAAACACAACTCACATCGGGTCGCACCCCTCCTCATTCACCTCCATTGGGTGAACCACACATCACCTGATTATGTCATTCCCCTACATAAACCCTTCAAACTGCCCTTAAGACAAAGTCTGACTGACAAGTACAATGAGGGTGAAATTGTGAAAAAGCATTAACATCTGTTTCTCAGTTTTATGTTTCCAAGTAGATGACTTTCTACTAATTAGCCTGAGGTAACTATGGGTGAGGCGGGGTGGGGTGGACAGTAAAGGGTCACTGTGGATTATCAAATCAGGAATGTTTTTGGCATTCAAAATAGAACCCAGGTAAAGATTAAGAACCAGTCTTTGTTGAAGGATGACATTTTTAAGAATTCCTTTAGCATACCAAGAAGCAACTCAGCCTCCACTTTCTAGACAACTCAGATCATAGATTTTTCCTTGCTGCAAAGATACTACCCCTTCCCCACTGAGAGCAAGGCCATGAGGTTTGTTACTTGAGGACAAGAGGAGAATGTAACAGAGCAGAATAAATATCCCTCTGGGACAGAGGATTGTGGGAGAGGAAAATACACGAGATGGGGCATGTGGCTCCTGATCGTAAGCCCAGAGAGTGAGATAATTGAGGGGGCACTGAGAACAGGCCAGTGGTATGTGGGATGCTACAGAAAGATCCTCTAGCAGCCCACCTATCCTAGCACCCACCTGCAAGGCAGCCACATCAAAGTAAACTGTGTAGTGCAGGCAGAGGGAAGGCTAAATTTTGTCTAACCAGACCTGCTTTTAGCTCTCGTGTGGGGCTAAATTCCCACATGCCACCCTTGGCCACACCCCAGTGGCTCAGGGTGACACAAAGCCAACAAAAGCCAAGGTAAGTCTCCTGAGACAGCCAAGGAGCACTACCTGTATCATATGACAAACTGAGAGACCTGAGTTTTACTTTCTCCCCAAGTTTGACTTCAGCTACAAATGCTTAAGGAGCACTAGGAAGAGTCACTGAGGAACCAAAGGTGGTAGAAACACACAGCAAGGCTCACCTTTACATTTAAATGTCGCCTGAGGGGAGATGGTGGGAAGAGAGAGGTGAGGGGCTCTGGAAGACCTATCATTTATCAGGAAAGCTACTGAGATTGAGGTACCCAAGACTAACATTCAGTCCTTCATACTCCCAGGATGAGAAGGTGCTTGTTGAAATATCAGAGCCATTTTAGAAAATAAATTCTATTTCTCTGTACACCTGAGTGTAATACAGGTGCAACCCTGCTACACAAGGCACACTATGGTTTGGGGCTACTTACCCACCTCAGCTTATCCCTTGCCTGCTCTCGCCTGTAGGCCCTCACCATCTAGGCTGACTCTCACCTCAGAAACATGCCGTTTCTTCTGCAGTGAGCCCTTTTCTTCTCTATTTTCACCTGGTTAAGTCCTACACACTCTTCATATATCACCTGAGAATCACTTCTTCCAAGAAGCTGATCCTTCAAGCTCCAGTTGCAAACCTTTCCTATGAGGTCCCATGACACCCTGCACTTCCATATTCTGGTACATATTGTGAAATGTGGATCAGTCTGATCTAATAACCTACTAGACTAGTCTCAGTGAGGGCCAGGATCCTGAAGGACACCATCTCCAAGGTAATTCATGTGACTCTGGGCATATAGTATACACTTGGACCTGCTGGTTCAACTATAATGTCTTTGAGAAGAAAAAAATATCGTAGCAAGCATCTTGTGGGCTCAGGGTCACCCTTGTAGCTCATAAGGTTTAGGATCCATGCCAATTTTAAGACTGGTTCTTAATTTCTCTGACTTAGAGGGGTTTAGGAGAGACATTTTACTCATTCTTATGGGGGTTCTTTCTTGCATAAGAGATGGAAATTTATTGCAAGCAAGATTGGAAAGACTAATGCTAAATAAATGATAGAGTAGTGCATACTTGCAAGAAAAAGCTAAAAAATCCATTTGAAGCTTACCTTTACAATGAATGTCAGCAATTACTTCATTCCTTTCCATGGTTTCTAATAGCTGTCTTACTTCTTCATTGTTTCCATTTCTGGCATGATGGAGAAGCCATTGCTCTGTTTCTGTGTTCATTTCTAGATTTAAAAAACAATAATATTGCTATTATCTAAGAACATAATTAGTTTGGGGACATCATCTTCTTATACAAAAAAAGAGAAAAATCATCTTCATTTTGCAGTTAATAAGACAGACACAAGAACTGATTAAATGAATCAGTTGCAGGGCCAGAACTTGACCCTGAGACTCCTTGCTCTTTGTAGTATTATAAAAGAGTGCACTAGACATTTGGGCAAGTTTCTCAATCTCTCAAAGCCTCAGTTTCCTCATGTGCAAAATACAACCAACCTCATGAGCACTTGTAAGACTGGGTTTATAAAAGCATTCTGTAAAATTACTTTGCAAATAGTTATTACAACATTAATAACTAGACAAAGTTAAAATATGGCCATTCATACAGAAATATCGTAAGGCTGAAATGTAAATGAACACATTCAAAACCTGTGCAAAAAACCACTCTGAATAGAAAAACTAAATCATTGATAAGGAACCTGGAGTGACCATACTTAGAATTTTTTCTCTCTCATAATTTCTTATCAAGCCTCAAGCCAAATATAGAGGAATACAACCAAATCTAAAGCATGTATGTCAAAATGTTATGAACAGCAATTCCCAGAAGAAATACAAATTTTTCTTACTAATAATCAAATAAGTGCAAATAAATCAAACACACATGATATTATTTGCCTACCAGATTAGCAAGAATAAAAAAAGATTAAACATACTCAAGGCTGGCATGGACAGAAAACTGCTAATATAAACATAAATGCATACAATCTTTCATATGTTACAGGGGAAGTGTCAACAATTTGACAATATCAAATAAATTTCAAAATACACATACCCCTAAGGAAAGATTCTGGGAAGATAGCAGACTAAGAAAAACCAGGAATCTGACTCCCCATTAGACCACAATTGCAGTGGTAGAATCTCTGATGTAACTATTTTAGAACCCTGGGGTCTACTGAAGGTTTGCTACTACCCCGGGAAGACTCGGAAGGTAAATTGTGGTTACTGAGGTCCATTTCAGCTCTTAGCACAGTAGCAGCTACCCATCCCCCACCCCAGCCACGTGGCACCACCTGGGCACATGTTCCTGGAGCAGCTTGCAGGAACCAGGGTGGCTCCCTGTCCTCCAAATATCGGGGAGCTGGGCTCTGATCACGGATTGCTGCTTCTGATCACAGAGGTGCAGACAAAGACACAGGCAGCCATTGTTTTTGCACCTTCCCCCAGTGTTGCAAGCCCCTCCAGTAGGATGGACTTCCAGTGGATTTGTTCACTCTGTCATTTTGATGTTTTTTCTGCTTTAAAGAGTCAGACATTAAAGACTAGGACATTTAAAACCAACTACATATATAGGGAAAATTAAAACATGACTGCTCATGCCCACTGAAAGGTTCAGATAAGACCTGAGAAGACCTTAAGTTTATACCTCAGGCTGACCCTCAGCACAGACACAGCCTACCACAATGAAAAAAAATCAATCACAAAAAATTAGCAAAGTCTGGGTAAGAGGGAGAATCTGACTTCTAGAGTTACTACATTATTAGATTCAAATGCCTAGTTTTCAACAATAACAACAACAAATCACAAGGCATACAAAGAAACAGGAAAGTAGGGCCCATTGACAGGAAAAAAAATAGATCAACAGAAACTGTCCCTGAAAAAGACCTGATGGCAGACATACTAGACAAAGATTTTAAAGCAACTGTCTTAAAGTTGCTCAAAAAAGGGGAAGACATAGAGAAAGCCAGGAAAATGTATGAACAAAATGAAAATAACAATAAAGAGATAGAAAACCTAAAAACATCCTGGAGCTGAAAAGTACAATAACTGGAATAAAAAACTTACTTGAGGGATTCAAAGGCAGATTTGAGTAGGTAGAAGAATCAGTGAGCTTGAAGACAGGACAATGGGAATTACTGAGTCTGAAGAACAGAAAGAAAAAAGATTGAAGAAAAATGAACAGAGCTTAAGGGACCTGTGGGACACCAACAAGGAGATGAACAAATGCATCATGGGAGTCCCAGAAAGAAAGAGAGATAAAATGGTAAATAGAATATTTGAATAAATAGCAGCTGAAAACTTCCAAGATTTGATAAAAGACATGAATATAAACATCCAAGAAGCTCAACAAACTCCAAGTAAAAGGAACTCAAAGAGATATATTATATAATCAAACATTCAAAAGACAAAGAGAAAATCTTGAGAGCAGCAAGAGAGAAGCAAATTATCACATGCGAAGGATCCTTGATAAGATTGTCAGCAGATTTCTCATCAGCAACTTTGGAGGCCAGAAGGCAGTGGACAGATATACTCAAACTGCTAAGAAAAAAAAAAACAGCTGTCAACCAAGAATCCTATATGTGGCAAAACTGCCCTCCAAAAGTGAGAGAGAAATTAAGACATTCCCAGAAAAACAAAAACTGAGAGAGTTTATTACCACTAGAGTCACCCTGCAAGAAATGCTCAAAGGAGTCCTGCAAGGTGAAATAAAAGGACACCAGACAGTAACTCAAAGCCATATGGAAAAATAAAGATCTCAATAAAGATAAATATATGAGCAATTATAAAAGCTAGTATTACTATAACAATGATTTGTAACTGCACTTTTTGTTTCCTGCATGATTTAAGAGACTAATACCTTTAAAGAAAAAAATGACTCATCTAAAAGCTAATAGTATTGTAACATTGGTTTGTAACTCCAAATCTTGTTTTCTACATAATTTAAGAGACTAATACATTTAAAAAGAATTCTTACTTTGTCCTTTTAGGTACACAGTTTATAAAGATGTAATTGTATAACATCAACAACCAAAAGGGGTGGAGTCAGAACTCTAAAGAAATAAAGTTTTTGTATGGTATTGAAGTTAAGCTGGTACAAATTCAAATTAGTGTTATAACCTTTGGATATTAAATGTAATCTCCATGGTAACCCCAAAGAAAATAGCTATAGAATATATAAAAGGAAATGAGAAAGGAATTTAAACATTTCAGTACAAAAAAATCAACTAAACACAAAAGAGAGTAATGCAGTAAATGAGGGACAAAAAAGTAATATGGCATATGGAAAACAAATAGTAAAATGACAGAAGTCCCTTCTTATCAGTAATAACTTTAAATGTAAATGGATTAAACTCTTCAATCAAATTACAGATTGGCAGAATGGATAAAAAACATGATCCAACTATATTCTGTCTACAAGAAACTCACTTTAGATCTAAAGACACAGATTGAAAGTGAAAAGATGGAAAAAGATATTCCAAGCAAATAGTAACCAAAAGAGAGCAGGAGTAACTATATTAATATCATGCAAAATAGACTCAAAATCAAAAAAGGTTTTGAGAGACAAAGAAGGACATGACATACTAATAAAAGTCCAATACAGCAAGAAGATATAACAATTATAAACATTTATGCACCTAATGACAGTTCATCAAAATATAAGAAGCAAAAACTAACAGAGTTGAACGAAGAAACATTTCTACAATAATAGTTGGAAATCTCAATACCCTACTCACAAGAATGGATAGGACAACCAGACAAAAGATAAGTAAGGAAACAAAGGACTTAACACAATAAACGAACTAAATCTAACAGACATATACACAACGCTCTACCCAACAATAGCGTACACATTCTTCTCAAGGGCATATGGGACATTTTCCAGGATAGACCAAATGTTAGGCCACAAATTAAATCTCAACAGATTTTAAAAGAGAGATATCACAAAGTATCTTTTCCAACCACAACAGGATGATGTTAGGAATCAATAACTGAAGGAAAAGTGGAAAATTCAAAAGTTGAGGAAATTAAACAACATACTTTAAAACAACCAATGGATCAAAGAATAAATCACAAAAGAAATTAGAAAATATTTAGAGATGAATGAAAATGAAAACAAGATATACCAAAACTTATGAGACACAACAAAAATAGCGTTAAGGGGGAAATTTATAGCTATAAATGTTCACATTAAAAAACATAAAAGACCTCAAAATAACAACTTAACTTTGCAACTTAAGGAACTAGAAAAAGAAGAACTAAACCCAAAGCTAGCAGAAGGAAGGAAATAATAAATATTAGAGCAGAGATAAACAAAACAGTGAATAGAAAAACAGTAGAGAAAAAATAAATGAAAACAAAAGTTGGCTCTTTGAAAGAAATCAACAAAATTGACAAACCTTAGCTAGACTAACAAAAAGACTCAAATTACTAAAATCAGAAATGAAAGTGGGGACAGTACTACCAATTCTACAAACAAACAAAAACTATCAACGGAGTTAAAAGGCAACCCACAAAATGAGAGAAAATATTTGCAAATCATATATCTTATATCATATATCCAAAATATATAGAGAACTTCTAAAACTCAATGAAAAACAACCCAATTCAAAAATGGGCAAAGTTGGGGCCAGCCCAGTGGCGTAGTGGTTAAGTTTGCATGCTCTGCTTCAGCAGCTTGGGGCTTGCAGGTTCAGATCCTGGGCATGGACCTAGCACTGCTCATCAAGCCATGCTGAGGCAGCATCCCAGATAAAATAGAGGCAGATTGGCACAGATGTTAGCTCAATGACAATCTTCCTCAAGCAAAAAACAAAAAGAGGAAGGTTGGCAACAGATGTTACCTCAGGGCCAAACTTCCTCACCAAAAAAAAAAAATAGCCAAAGTACTTAAATAGATATTTCTCCAATGAAGATAAACAAATGGCTAATAAGCATGTGAAAAAATGCTCAACATCACTAATCATTAGGGAAATGCAAATAAAACTACAATGAGATCCCACCTCACACCCATTAGGAAGGTTACTATGAAAAAAACAGAAAATGACAAGAGTTGGCATGGATCTGGAGAAATTAGAACCTTTGTGCACTGTTAGTAGGAATGTAAAATGGTACAGCTACTGTGCAAAACAATACAATGATTACTCAAAAAATTAAAAATAGAGGAAGATCCAAGATGGCACCGTGAGTAGTCCTCTTTGTCTCTCACCCTTCGAGTCTACAATTATTT